CTTGAATGGCTAAGTAAGTTTATCCCTAGACAGAAGGGGAGAAGAGGTGTAATGATCTCTGCAATTAAATTTGTAGCCATAAAATATCAAGAGAGAGTACGTAAAAGGTAGATTACACTTGTCTGTTTAAGTATAGCTTACAAGTATAACTTGGCAGTTTCCTGAGAAGATGTAGACCTCGGAGGATTCAGTAACATTATGTATTTTTACTCACCCACTCCTTATTTCTTGTCCTCCCAATAGGCCTACATTCTGTACTCCTACACCTAAAATCTCCTCTCTGCCTTAAAAAGATAACAGTTATTGAAAGAAAGGCACCTTCTGTACAAATTAATTATGTTAAAAGTCTGGCTTAGAGCAAGCATACTTTTTGCAAAATTAAGATAACTCACAAGAGCTCTGTGCAAAGCCATGAGTAACTACATACTCAGTTACAGTTGGGCATTCATTCATTTTGCACTGAAGTAATGCACACTGACATTATTTGAATGCTTAGTAATCTATATTTTCCCTCTTTTCTTCACCTCAAACTAATTGCCATTGTTAAACGGTGCTATGGTTTTTAAATTATTTTATTAGTTCTTTTCCTATTCTTAACTTTTTTTCTTTGACTTGACTGTAACTTCAAAAAACACTGTATTCAATGAGATATTCAAAGAAGAGTGAGTCAAGCTCTTGGGGGGATATTTTAACAATCGCTGATTGAACACACTATTGAACTCAACAGTTATTCTATAAAATCTATTGTCTTTCAACCCAGTTGATTATTCCATCCATGCACCAAATGCATTTTAAAAAGAGAGAAGTTGGTAAAGTGCTTCCCAAAAGTACATATCATATATAATTCAAGCATGTATCGATTAGATAAACTGCCTGCACTTATTTGGGGAACAAAATTTCAACCAGATAACAAAATCAAGTCCATATATGCACCTTATTAGGCCAGCCGAGCCACTTCTCTCACCTGCCATCCTGGAAATGTCACCATGTTGCCCAGTAACTATATAGATGGGTTTTAATTGTTGGAAACCTTTACAGGGGAGTTGCAAATACAATGATACACTTTAAATTTTTACTGAAAATGTCAGGTCAGCCCCATTATGTTTACTGATCCCTCCTATCTGGTTAGGATGTGGTATTCTCTGCCCTACCCAAAGGTGGCTAGGAAGACTGATGGAGAGAGCAGATTCTAGGAGCCTCAGTTGGCAAAGGCAAAGCCGGAAGCCACTTACCGAGGACCTACCAAGGGCGAGACGGCACTTTAGGACAGATGAAGTGACCACGGTCTCCCCACTTAGGGACTGTCTGGCTAGTGAAGTGGTCAAAGGAGGCCAATGGCTAAATGAAAGGAAGGGTGTGGAAGGAGGCCCGGGAACAAAGCATTGTGGGATTGCATAGAAGGAAGGGATGATGTTCAGGCACAGGGCCCAAAGGGGTGTAAGCTGGTTCTTAAGGAAAAGGTAGGATTTTAACAAAGAAGGGACTTTGTCTATTGGCACGTAATGATGTCCTTGAGAACGTCCCTCGTGGAGCACTGCTGGGGCGCAGGCAGTCCCAGCACGAGGCCACGCACTATCCAGGCAGCATCTGGCAGGGACCTGCACCCGCAGCTGCGCCTAAGGGGAGAAGTGGCTGGGTTCTGGATACACCGAAGGCAGGCAGAGCTGTAGGGTTTGCTGACAGATGGAAAATAAGATGCGCAAAAAAGGGAGGAGTTCAAGTCTGGGGCCCAAGCCAATGAAAAGACAGAGCTGACAAAATGCAGACAGAAAAAACAGGAGTTTACTCTCGGATGTGTTACATGCGAAGGGTCTGGCGGACATCTGAGGGGACAAGCCGGTCATCTATCCAAGTCTGGAGCTCCGGACAGACGTTCTGGCTGGAGGCTCAACGTCTGGAGCCATTAGGATCTAGAGAGGAGTCCAGGTGATCACTTGGAGAGCATCGAGAGGAGGCCCGGGACAGAGCCGTGGACACTCCAGTGCTCCCAGGCGAGGTGGGAGCAGTAAGCGGAGGGGACTGAGAAGGACCTGCCTGTGAGCTGAAGGAAGAAGCCGGAGAGCGTGGGGTTCTCGAAGCCAAGTTGAGGATGTGTGTCAAGAGGAATAGAAGCTAGACCGATGGGCTGGGGCACGAGATCTGGAGACACCACGCTGACGTGGAGCCTGCTCCGTACCCGCCACGCGTGTGTTGCACATTCATGACCAGAGTGTTATCGTCTAGCCCCACCTCCTTAAGTCAAAACGTCGTTTCCCACAGGTTCCCTGTACAAATATTTGCAGGACTCCCTGGGGGGCCCGTGTGCACTTTCAGCTCATCCTGCTCCTCTCAGAAACCCACGGGCAGAGCAAAAACAGAGGCACTGCTGGGCTGGACTCCCAGCCACAGGTCTCAGGGTGAGAGTTCTGGGAGCTGTGAAGGCACAGCAGACCCTCTCCACGTCAGAGTGGAAGGTGCGTCCTGTCTGGGGTGTACGCATGTGAAGCAGCCAGGGTCTCAGAGCTCTGCAGGGCAATCCTTCTTGCACACATACACCCACACACACCCACACATAATTTTTGTCAAGGTTTACCCCAATACCAGGAACTCACAAAAGAACAGAGCCCTCCATTTTGAAAAGAGCCCGCCTTGCTAATCCTGCAGGTTGTTTGACCTGCTCCCTGTAACTCCCAGCCAGCAGACAAAATGACTCTGACCCGGGGTGGGATTTCCAGTCTCCCCAGATGGTCTCCTTAGCCCTCCTGTAAATTAGTGGAAGCACAGAATGGAGTGGGGAAGGGACACTGGCCACCTCTGTCCTTCACCAGCATCAGATCCCCAAATGCAAATGAATATGCTAGGGGCTCAGTGGCCCCTAACTGCAATATCTAAGCCCCAGCTGAAACGCTGACCAAAATGTTCAATTACCAGAACCTACAGAATATGTTTGAACTGTTCAAATAAGTTCAAAAACTTCCCTATCCTTCCCCGCAATAGATGCACTGGGAAAGAACCTTGAAAACAGAATGAAAATATGGCATATGGAAACCACCTTTGATAATGACAACTTCTTCGCCACATACAAGAATGATTAAATTCCAAACCAAAGAAATCTGAAAGCAAGATTAATATTTTACAGCAACTAGCATTTCATTTCAGCATCAGCAAAACAGTGTCTGCCTGTTACTAATTTCTTACGAGTACAAAGTCCACTGCATGGCTGGGAAGGATGGTTAGTGTTTGGCAAGTTTTTTGTGGAAGGATATAAAAATGTAACTGGAAGGTTCATTAAAGGACCAAGAGTAGGCACAAGAATCAAACACACGTTGATTATTTAAACTGCCAGAGTGCCAGAAAACTCCCCAATTCCTTATCTTACAAGTGAAATGATCATCTAAATTGCTCTAATAATTGATGACTTTCCTATACATACAGATTACATGCACTCTAAATATAGAACACACATGATTTAAATCTACAGTAGTGATTCTGCAGGAATAGTCTATTAGGTCCTGCAGCTGGGCCACGAATCTCTTGTATGTTTCTGGTATGAACTGGAATTTGCTCATGTTTCCTTCAAAAGAGGGGCCAGTTCTTCCCATGGTTTTTCTATCTCCAACCATAAACAGGTGTTTAGGGTCTTGTGATTCCTTGAAAGGATTGACAAAATGAGCAAGTTTATTACCATTTGCTCTAAAATATCTTAAGGAAAAGATATATATCAATATGAAATAACAAAAGTCAAAATCTTTTTGTCAAACAAACCCAACCTTTTATGATCTGTGGTAGCAAACAGGTGTGGCAGAGGTGACACACGATCTAACTTAGGGCGTTATTACAGCATTATCAGCAGCGCAGGGCACTGAGTCAACTCCATAACCCAGTACGCTTCTGCTTCCATTTATCTAAGACTTCAGCTGAAAGTGTGTAGACGTGGTCTTTGTCTTCAGTTTGTTCAAAATATGTGGTTTAAATATAAATTTAAAACTAGGTCTTCTAGTAAGCCCACGAGTTACCAAAAGTCATACACGTAAACACTTTTACTAAAACGTTTGCACAAACCCAGAAAATACTCTCTCATGTTACAAAACTCCCTACAAAGTGTACCAACAACTGACATTACCGTAAATGAGCCCTCAGGTCTGTGGGACCTTTGCCAGAACATTAGTAAAGGAGAAAGTGGAGGAAGAATTATTTGGGAGACAACTTTATCGTGGTATAACACTATTTCCTGCTGTCAACATTTATTAAGCTTTTTGCCACAAGGGTGTTAAAATCAGTGTTGTCAGGCTAATAATTTCATCCCCAAGGAAATCCTTTCAACTGGAAAAAGCGCCTTGGAAGTACAGTTTATATCACACAATTTACACCACCCTCTAGTTGTTTCTGCGTTTTATGGCTAGCTTTGGTTACCATCGTACAGTGGGTCTTCAGGGCCCTGATGTTTAAGTTTAAGGTTGGTGGATGCAGGAAGAACTTCAGAAGCAGTTTAAACCCTGCTCCCCAGGTGATGCGATTTTAACCCTTGGCATTTGCTGCCATGTGGACTTGTGCCCCACACAAGACAGAGTTTACAGGACTGACACTGAACTCCTGACACCTGCACAGACTCCAGCAGACAGCAGCACTACAGGCGCAGCCTCCCGACACACCTGTCTCTTTCATCCATCCTGTTTCCTATGCTCCCCTCAGCTACTGCTGGTAAATCCTCCCTGCTGCACCTCTGGGAATCCCTCTGCAGCCGGAGAAAGAGATGCCCTCTTCTCACTGGAGAAAGTGATTCTGATTTCTTTTTTTGACAAACAGGCTCAAAAGGCACTCACCGGCGCGCCCACTGCGGGGTTTCCCTCCCACTCCCAGCTCCGCACCTTGGGAGGGAAGCCCCAGCTGCTCGGGCCGCCCCCTCGCGAGCCCTGAGTGACCTCACAACATGCTAACTGGGCTCAGGCACCCCTCCTGCGCCTGGAGACTCCGGAGGCCCCCTCCCCCTGGTGGCCCTCCGCCTGGCCCCTCCAACTCACCAAGAGGAGGTTGTGGGCCACCAGGTAGCCAAGCCGCGGGCTGCCCCTGACGCCGGGGGCCAGGCGCCCGGTGGCGTAGCCGTGCCAGGCCACCACGTAGGGGTTGTCGATGGTGATCCAGTACTTCACCTGGCGGCCGAAGTGCCGGAAGCAGAGCTCTGCGTAGTCCCTGAAGTGGTCCGCCAGGGCGCGGTGGGCCCAGCCGCCGTAGGCGTCCTGCAGGCTCTGCGGCAGGTCCCAGTGGTACAGCGTGACCACGGGCTGCACGCCCAGCGCCCGCAGCCGCTCCAGCAGGCGCCGGTAGTAGCGCAGCCCCTTGTGGTTGGGGGCGCCCGCGCTGCCATTGGGGAGCACCCGCGCCCAGGAGATGGAGAAGCGGTAGTGCGTGACCCCGAGCTCGCGCAGCCCCTCCGTGTCGCGGAAGACGTTGTTGTAGCCGTCGCTGGCCACGTCCCCGGTGGCGGGCGGGGACGGGGACGCGGATGGGGCGCCCGACGGCGGGCCGGCCTCCGGGGGATCGCCGCGGGGCGCCGGGGTCCGGTGGGTGAATGTGTCCCAGATGGACGCGCCCTTGCCATGCTGCCGCCAGCCGCCTTCTGTCTGGTAGGCGGCGCTGCCCACGGCCCAGAGGAAGCCGTCGGGGAAGGTGTCGTGCAGGGGTCCCGCGGCCTCGGGCGCCGGAGGGTGCGCGAAGCGGGCCCAGGTCTGCGCCCCGTCGCCGGGCTCGGCGCGCAGGCGGCGGGCGCCCAGGGCCAGGAGCAGCAGCAGCAGCAGCAGCAGCAGGGGCAGCGGCGGCGGCCGCGGGAGGCGCGGCGGGGCGCGGGCGGGCATGCTGCGCGGAGCCGGGGCTGGGCCGCCGCGCCCCTTTATGCCCGCTCCCCGCCGCCCGCCCCCCGCCGGCGCGCCCCCTCCCGGCTCCCCGCCTCCGCCGCCCGGCTGGCAATAATTACCTGCGAGCCGCTGCCTCCCCCGCCCGGAGCGGGGGCGCCACCGGCGAGCGGGTGCCCGGGGGGAGCTGCGCGCAGCGGGCAAGGTGCAGCCGGCGCCGCTCAGGGCGTCGGAGAAAAGGCACCTGTTCCTCGCTGCTCCCGGGAGCCGCGGAGGATGCTGCGGCGGCACAAGTTCCCGCCGCCGCCTGCTCTTCCCCGTCCCCGCGCTCCTGGGAGCAGCGGGCCGCCGGTGGTCGTCGAGGAGGGAAGGGGCCACCAACTTAGCCCCCAAGTTTGGCGCGAATCTTTGCGACCCTTGCGGGGCTGCCAGTCGGGATGCACCTGCTCTCTGATTTCGCCCACTGGGAAGCCGAGGAAAGCTTTAGAGTGACACGTCTAGAGCCCGGGAGGAACTGGCTGGAATCGCACCGGCGAGGCTGGGGGGGTGGGGGGGGGCGGGGAGCGAGGTCAAAACTTACCCCAAGACCATTAGACAAGGTGCGCGGTGGAGCCACCCCACTGGATGGCGCGCGCACCGGGCTCCGGTCTGAGAAGCCTTCGGGGAAGACCAAGGAGGTGCGTGGGCTGCCCTGAGACTTTGTTTTACTCTTTCTCTAACCGTTATCTTTTAACCATTTCAAGCCCGCACCTGCCCTTTATTTGGAGCTGGCAGAATTGCTTGGGGAATTTCAAAGGACAGCTGTCCATTGTTCTAAGAAAAGGAGGGAAGGGAGGGAAAGAAAGAAAACAAAACACCAAGGTTTTGACTTTAAGTAACTGTCATTCACCTCTACTACCCTTTTGCATCTTTTTTATGAATGTCACGTTTCAGCTTTCAGCTCTGGCTTAGCAAATACTATGTATGCAAAGTTGTGCGTGCAGCTCTGCTGAAACCAGAGGGCTGGGTCCCACAAATGCCACCTGAGCTGCGGAGAGAAAGGGGAAGAGGGATTTCGCCCAAGCAACCCCGTCCAACCTCTGCAACAAAATAGAGTCATGACGTTTTTCCAGTTGCCCGAGTCCTTTTGACAGAAGTTGTGGAGGTGAGACAGGGACCATGGGCTTACACAGAGTGGGGTGAGGGCCTCTGGAAAAAAAACAAAAGCGAGATAATCCATTGTGAGATTTGCTTTGGCCTACAGGGGGGCCCAGCTTATTTTCTAACTTTACCCAAGTGCTGCTTTTCTTCCTCCAGCCCTAAACAAATGATTTGTTGCAATTTAGGCAATGTAGCAAGCAAGCCCAAAACAAGTAGTTAAAACAGGACGGATTCCATCTTAAAACCCAATTAGTTAAAAAAGTTTCTTGACAAACAGACAATAACTCAGCCCACCTTGGGAGCAAAGGAGACAGCCTTGGGTGATAGGCTCCCAGACCAGGAAGCTGCTATCCTGGGAGGAAATCAGAGCGGTAAAATTCTTGTAAATAAGCAAGAAGACTAATAAGAAACTCAGTGTTTCTTCAAAAGCGTTTGAGACCACTTAGCAGGTGTACATCCCTAGCCCTTTGTCTCTCAACTGCCTATAAAACCCCCGAAACAACGCACCACACCACCGGGGTGCTTCTGTCCCCTTCTGGCCTGAGCCAGGAGCTCTGCCCTCTTGCTTTCTCTCTAAATAAAAGCCTCTGTCCTGACTCTGCTGCCTTGACTGTTTGCAAAGTTCGTTCTTCGGCTCCGTGAACAAGAACCCCGGCCGCAGAGGTGCGGTGTCTATTTGAATATGTGTATTTATTCCCTATGAATGATTGATGTGCACTTGGTGGGGAGCCTGTGGCCTGAGCTCCACCTTTGTGATCTCAGGTGGGACCACTTCTCCCAGCCTTAGGGTCCTCTCTGTAAAATGGAGATGGCCATTTCTGCACTGCCTCCATAGAGGCTTGAGAAGCCTCAGTGAAAAATATGTGCACACAGATGACTCAAACACGGAAAACCTAGACAAACACAGTGTCTTTACCTCTCTTTGCAGTGCAGTGTGTCTCGGCACCAGCACGCCTGCATCTGTGTTCAGTGACTACGCTCCTCACAAAGGTACATCCATTCTAGTCCAATGATCATCTCTGTGCTATTTATACAAATTTAAAAACCAAAGAAGTCTTCTGTGTTGCAGGTGAAGCTGCTTTTATTAATTTCCTTAAAATGTAAGTGCAACAAATTTATTACATATTTTATTAAATATTCCCAACTCTCGCTAGCATATATTGTCATGATTAGTAAAATTAAGCCATTAGACTGGAACAAGGCTCGCCGCTCTTCTGTTACATGTGGCATTTACATTTTTCAATGAATCTGAAATAACAAACAATGACACTTCAGCAATTTAAAAAATTACAGCACACAACAGTCACACTCTCTTCCGGCTAAATTAAAAAGCTGCAATGACTGCATGCAAGAGCCATTTCCCTTCTCCAGCTGAAGATTGGAATGGAATATCTGCTGCCTTGTAGCTTGTTAAATTTCAATTAGAAATGCTTTGTGGATCTCATGGAAAATAGCTTGGCTAAGTGTTCACTTATTGATAGATGGTCTGTTTGCTCAGGCTAGATCGTATCTATTGCTATTTTTATTTACCCAACAGTTTTAAAAAAAGTTATTTATTTTTCTTTTTAAGCAGTGAGTAAATGAAAGGACCATGACAATCAAATGCTTCACAGTTGAAGTTCATCTGTCCCTGTAGGGGACATAAAGCACATGGATCTCCTAAATTGGACATCAAAGCTTTCAGCATCTGTAGAGGTCTTCCCAGGTGATAGTGAATTTAACCCAATGATAAAGTTTACATGATAATTAAACTTTATGCCCAGGACTTGCTGTTAGTCAAGGTTCTGCTCATGGTTCCTACATTCTGGATTCCTGAGGTTTGAATAACTGCTATTGCTACCTCTCATCTGTTCAGTTTTATTTTGGTTCTTATCTTTCACAGCCACCTTCATACATCTAAAATGTGGGTTCCAGTCAATGCTTTGTTCTCCCACAAAGAAGACAGTAATGACTTGCAGTGCTTTGAATATGAGGTGATGGTATTGATGCATTAAAGGAAAGGAAATTTCTAATTTTACTTACTGACTTGTGTCATGGTGATGATTTTCAACAAAGTAAAGGTGGTCAACAAGCTGACCATCATCCACATTCTTTCCTCCAGTCCCTTCTCCCTAGCTCTCCTGTGTGCCCCTGGGACAACCGGAGCAGTCCCCAGTGAAGGGAGCGGAGGAAGTTCACAGATCCAACTAGCACCAACCTCAGGCGCCCTCAGCCCACCAGCCACAGAAGCCAGCCCCATGGGAAGGTGCTGAGATCACCAACAGTAGTCTCTCTGGGCAAAAGTCATGGGCACAGCAACCCTCAGGAGCCTAAGACTTCAAAACCTAGATGGAAACCCCTGCCCTCAGAGGCCACACTGGATTGAAGAAACAAGATAAAGAAAGTTTGTGGTACATAAGTTGTTTAATTTATTACGGTGAGCCTTAAGAAATGACACACATTATAGCCGTTAGGAGAATTCAGAGGAAGGAGCAATTATCCTGTTATGAGTTGATTCACAGAGCGGATATAACGCTATCTAGGGTTTCAAGACTAAAACTTGCAAGAAGACCTGGAGACAAGGCTGATAGGAGGAGAAAGGGTTCCCAGTGTATTTGTAGTTTAAAAAAGAAGAGTCTCTTTGTGCAAGAACATAGCAGACCGAAAAGGTAGGAAGAAGTAAGATCATAGAGTCCTTCATAGGTTTTACCATTCTGTTACATCGAACCTCTACCTTCATTTACTCATCAGACAAACTCTTGTTTTGTGGGGCACTATTCTAGGCCCTGGGACTGCAGCAGTTACAAAATAGTCCTACACCCACTGCCCTCCCCTTACACCACCACCCTCTTACCCCTTACTCTGTTCCAGTCATCCTTGCCTCCTAGTTGTCCTTAGAACACCCCAAACTGGCTCCCGACCTCAGGGCCTTTGACTAGCCCTTCCCTCTCTGGAATGCTCTTCACAGGACCTCCAGCTTCTCCTCAGTCAGGTCTTAGAGCAAAAGCCACATTCTGAGAGCATCTGTCTTTGACCTCTCCATTCAAGTAGTCACTCTCAATTACCATGCCCTATGTTATTTTCTTCACAAAGCTCATGACTTTCTCAAATTACCTTGATTGCATACTTGCTTATTTCTTTCTTTTATCCCCAACTAGAATGTCAGCTACATGAGAACAGGCATTTGGCTTTTTCTTTGCAGTATCTCCAACACCTAAACTAGTGCCTGTACATTGTAGGTACTCACACATACATGCGGAATGAATGAATCCATTGGCACGAGATGGTCAAATCCATTGGTAAGTAGCCATTGCACACACACAATTGTGAAGCCACATCATGACTTACAAAAAGAGTCTGCGATTGATTAGTAATGTCTGCCCTGATCTAGGGAAGTGAAGTGGTCACAACAGTACCATCTTTGACATCCTGCACATGTACTGTGGTGGACCACACCCAAAGCCTAGTCTACTAACACCTCAGATAGGTCTGATGATACAAGAAATAGCACACAAAACCATGTCACTGTGGAATAGCTTAGCTGCCAATAACCACATCCTCCCCCAGTACACCTGGTACACCTCTGAAAATCCCAGAAATATTGCAGAGGCAGTGGCGCTAGGGTTCTGAGCTTTCCTGACTTAGCAAGTTCCTCATTCCACAGAGGTCTTCAGAGCCACTAAATATCCGGTGCAGCTTCATGAAGAATTAGGGAGGTAACAAGGAGCCGTTCCCACCCTCTAGTAGCCTTATTCTGTGTATCTGCCAGCAAACCAGGGGTGAAAGTGATCTATGGTCCAAGAGCTGGACTTCAAATCTGTAAGGGTCTTTGTGGTCCAGCCCAACTCAAGAACCCCTGAAAGCTGGAGAGTAGTAGACTGACT